TTGAAGAGAGACTTTGCTTTTGGCATTTTCCTAACTCTAGCAGTCCTTCAATGAAGAAGGAAACCTGACTAGCTCATTTAATCCCATGTAACCTAAATTTAGATGACCAGGAAACTTTTATTTTTTCCATGGAATGAAATTTGGGGAATGCAACAAAGACAGGGTTCCAAAAGGAGCCTGTTCACTTTATATCTTATTATGGATTAAAATGGGCCATGAGTTTTCATTGGCAGCAGTGACCAGCAGCCATCCCACTGTCCTGCTGGTGGGAGGCCCCACGTCTGGTGATGAGAGCAGGAGCTTCCCATCCTCAGACGTGGGAACTGCTGTACGGAGGCTGCTCAGCCGAGATCTCCTCCAACACAAACCAGGCCACAGCTTCCAGAACCTAGGCACAAATCTGGGGCCTGTGGGTATGTTTGTAATCACTCCAGTCCTTAGGCTTAGCAGCTAACGAGAGGTGGTGGCATCGCATGCCAGAAAGAATGTGGCTTTTAGAATCCTGACTCTGCCACTTACTGGCCAAGTCACCAGCCTCTCCCACCTCAAATTTTCTCATCTGTAAAATGGGCATAAAAATGCCTCTCTTGCAGGGCAGCCAAGGTACTAATAAAACATTTTGTACAATCTAGTAAGTCATTACCCCCCTTTTTTAACCAGAGAGGATAACAAAGATTTATAAGGTAATTTTTAGTTTAATCAGGTAGGCACCTTCTTCCCCCCTACCCTTTTTTTTTTATTGAGAAAGGTCCACGTACTATTCATTGAATGGTATTGTGTCGATAATATTACGCTTACTTAGATTTCCGTTTTAAAAGTCTTAAAACAATGTTTTCTTTAGAGCAACCCTGTCAAATAGAACAGATGAAAAAGCTGAGGTAGACAGAACTTGTCACCACTTCCGACACTGCCAGAGCTGGAGAGGGCTCCTTCTTCCTGACTCGGCGCTTTCATCAAGCAACGCAGCCACCGAAACAAGTTAATACAACTTTTTATAAGAGTCAATGACAGATCCATAGACTTGAGTCTTAAACATCTTCAGTCACTGGGTTCTTTTTCCCCCCATAGTATGGCACTCAGAAAAGTTCTTAGCCGTGGGGCCCTTATGGCTGCCACCTGCCTGTACACCTGCACGTCACCCAGGGTAGCAGCGCTGGGGCCTGCAGACCTCAGCACCGGTGGGTGTGCTCAGGGTCCTGCTCATCCACGTGTGCCCGGTTGGGTGTAAAGGGAAGGCTGGTTTCAGAACACTACCAAGGAGGACTGTGGCAAACATTTGGCCAAAGACATTCCTTCCAGAGACAGATGCCCGGATGCCTTCATTGGCCTCTTTAGGATTAGGACCCCGTCCACCAATGAGAGACCCACAAAGGCTGCCTTGTTCTTTCATTCAGCACAGTGCTGACTTTGTGTGAGGTTTCCCAGATGTGGCCCCATTGTTCAGCGGCATCTCTCACATACATGGGACTTCCTGGCACACTGCAGAGCAGGCGCACCCCTCCAAATCGCACCCAGAGACCTTTCTTCCCAGGCTGTTGGTTTGACACAAATGGAAAAGATCTAGGATATTTTTTATTATTCAAGAAAACCTCAAGTTAGTTTTTGTTCTCACGTTCTCATATTGTTTATAAGTTAACCTTTTGTCTCCTTTTTTTTTTTTTAAAGGGAGTTCTGATTAGAGGTTAACATCATCATTATTGAGGCAGACAAAGGGATGGATATGGAAAAGTTAGAAAAATGGCATGAAGAACATTTGAAAATCTACTTTCCTTTCCAAGATCCCTTTATGTTGAAAAGGAAGTGAATTAACATTTACCAAGTGTTAACTGTAAGGCACCATGCTGGGTGTTCATTTGTAGTTTGTTGCTGAATTCTCCAATAACTCTGAGTTGGCTCCTATTTTGATAAAGTAGCTCAGAGACATTAAGTATTTTGCCCAGTGTTCCAGAGCCAGCAAATGGTATAACTGGCTTTTGAATCCTAATTTCACAGCCTCTGTACTGCATGATGATAGATAGATGGATGGTGAGATGGATAGAATGATTGAGAATATATGAGAAATAATTTGACAGGGCAGAGAAGGGGCCAGCGAAGGCAGCGAAAGTGTCTAGAAGGAAACATTTGTCATCATTGAATGAACATCAGTTAGGACTATTGAGTGCATTGCTATGTGTCACATAAACATTCTCAGCACAGAATGGCATTCTCAAAAAGTACTTGGAGAAACCACCACAAACTAAGAGTCTTCTGAGCACTTGAAAGCGCTAGTCAGTTTGAAAGTTAACATCCATCGATGTAATTTCCTGCCTTGTAGGGCTCTCACGTCCAAATATGCAGCCCCTCTTGTGCAATGGTCCTCTTGACCTCATTCGAGGTCTCCTTTTGCTAAAAATCTATGTGTCTTAATCTTACACGTATTGAAACATCTGCTAAAACGCATGACCCTCTGTTGACAGGGAGCTTCCTCTGCAGAAAGGAGACATTGTTTACATTTATAAGCAGATCGATCAGAACTGGTACGAAGGAGAGCACCACGGCCGGGTGGGCATCTTCCCACGCACCTACGTCGAGGTACTGCAGCTGCCTTCTCTAGGGACAGCCCGTCATGCCCAAAGTACCATTTATTTACCGAGAACTTGTGTTTTGTTTCCTCCTTTCCTCTCGTGTCCCCACTTTCTTCTTTTACCTCTTTTCCTTCCACAGCTTCTTCCTCCTGCAGAGAAGGCTCAGCCCAAAAAGTTGGCCCCGGTGCAGGTTTTGGAATTCGGAGAAGCTATTGCAAAGTTCAACTTCAATGGTGATACACAAGTAGAAATGTCCTTCCGAAAGGTAAGCGTCCTCTCACCCTGTGCTTCGGGGCTCCCTGTCGGGTGGCACTGTTCTCATGGCGGGTGGCATTGCAGGGTGACAACGCCTTAGAGATGTGCCCAGTCATGGGGGCATGAAGGGCAAGTGGACAATTCTGAGGTATTTTTAAAAATAAACCCTAGGCTAGTGTCAGGGTTTAACTCCATTGAGTTCACTGAGTAAAGGCAGAACTTCTAGAATATGAGATACCTTTTATAAACTGTATTCAGTCAGCATTTATTGAGCACCTAATGATATGATAAGCACTGTGTAGGTGACTAGGTTTTATATCACAGGATGTGGCCTACTTGAGAAAAGCAAATCTTTTGACACCAGAAGTTTGAAAAACTTTGAAGCCCAAAGTCACAGGTTATCACCTATGAGGCTTTGGGGGAGTTGAATAATTTTTCTGAGCCATCATTTCTTCATATGTAAAATGAAGATAAGTGGCTCTCAGAGCTATTATAAGAGGATTAAATGAAACAACATATGTGAAGCCCCCAGTGTGACACATGGCATCTAGTCCATACTCACCAGCAGGAGATGCCAGTGTTATCACTTATTATTGCCTTTGAGGAGCTCAGCCTACTTTTTTTTTATTTTTATTGATTTTTTTAGAGAGGAAGGGAGAGGGAGAGAGAAAGAAAGAGAGAGAGAGAAACAGATGTCGATTGGCTGCCCCCTACCTGTCAAAATTCTCTGGTTTGCTAAAGTTGTTAAAGTTATTTTATTGAGGATTGAGGGAAGTGAGCACATGCCTTAGATAAAGATGAGCCCCCTTATGGAAAAGAGAAACACTGGAAGCAACCCAGTTGCCCAACATCAAGTGACCAGTAATAGGATATCCCGCAGTGGTCCATCAAGCTGTGCAACACTGTTTAAAATGTAGAATTATATTTCCTGAGAAAGAATGAGGCTCCTTATATGTTGTTAAGTATAAATAAGTAAGTTGGAAAAGGGAAACACAGTGCATACTCAATTTTATAAGAAAGAAAATATGTGCAAGTCTAATTCACACGTATAGAATTCAGTCTGGGAAGTACATATATCAAAATATTAATAGTAGTTACCCCGAGTGATAATATTTTGGGTCTTGATTATTTTTTGCTCTACATTTGCTTGTGTTTTAATTTTTCAATAACAATACAGGAAAAAATAAAGTTATAAAAAGGGAGGAAAAAAGCCCCTCCCCCAAAACCTTTGCCTTAGAGAAGAAGTTTGCATATCTGTCCGCTTTGCATTCGGTGAGTCAAAAACACTGCATTTGCCTGCTAGCTTGGGGGAGTGAGTCTGCCCTGCTCCTTCCCTGAAATATTTACAGACCGAGCTTAACTTCCCTGCATCCAGGTAGCTCTACGGCTGTTAGCATCTCCATCCCGGTGATATTAATTCTCTCCAGGTCTAGCAAGGAAGGTTTCTGTGAGCAAGGAATGTGATACATAAGCAGGACAGCACAGGGTGCAGGCCGGGCCAGCACGCAGGGGCGGGCGGGACGGGGACCGTGCCCTGTGTGTCTTACAGGGTGAGAGGATCACGCTGCTGCGGCAGGTGGACGAGAACTGGTACGAAGGGCGGATCCCAGGGACGAGCCGGCAGGGCATCTTCCCCATCACCTATGTCGACGTGATCAAAAGGCCACTGGTGAAAAACCCGGTGGATTACATCGACCTGCCTTTCTCCTCCCCAAGTCGTAGTGCCACCGCGAGCCCACAGGTACCTGAGCCTCTCGTCGCTGGTTTCACAGTCAGCGGGGCAGACCCTCGGTGCTGATGGCACGCGGCCCTCGGGCGGCTCGTCATCACTGTCGCTGAGAACCATCCTCAGCAGTGGGGAGTGTACACACCCGGTCTGTTTCCGTGCATACGAATGGCACTTTCCACACACTTGGTCGGAGAAATATTATCTCGGGGAAAAGGGGGAGCTTAAGGTGATCGCTCTGGGGATCGAATGATGGGGGGAAGAGAAATAGGAGCCTTTATCAGCTGGCCCAGAACTGTACTGGGGGCATCCAGTGACGTGGTGGGCGGTTGCCACCACTGCTCGTACAGACCGTGGCCCAGCCGGCTCTCGGTCATCTCGTTGGTCTGCAGAAGATAAAGGTCCAGAGTATTCTTTGCAGGCAGAAACCAGGTTGAAAAAGTAACTTACAGCCTCTCTGTTTACACTGGGTTGAAGGAAGGAAGTTTATCATAAAATGTTCACTTTCCTGAACATTAATTATGAGCAAATGGGTTTTAAAACGTAAAATACTCCAAACCCATCCCAACTTTCCCAAAGCCCAAAACACGAGGACCTTGGGATCAGGCAAGGCATAGTGGGTGACTTCCTGCCAGAGGCCGACCCTGCTGCCACTGTGGGGTGTCGGGAGGATGGCCAGGGAAGCAGAGCAGGCCCGGAACCCAGGGTGACAGTCGGACTGTGCCCGTCTTCTCTGCTCTCATCATTTCCTCCTCTCCTAACAGCCCATCGCTGACCACAGGAGATGGGTATTGGCAGGCTCCCTCTCCAGCAGGGTCCATATCCTGTGATCCTTTGGGGCAGGTGTGAGATTGGTGCAGGCTTTCTACTTTGTAATGTGGGGAACTCAACTAGATTTTTTGCCTGACCATAGCCAAGCGAGATTATAAAACTGACTACACTGCTCATACTCCTCTCTGGAAGGCTCTGCTGAGCGCCTTGGAGAGAATAAGAGCCCAAGGCGAGGCCAGGGCGGTGGCAGGATGGCTTTTCCTCAGGGTTCTGAGTCCGGGCTTCCCGTGGCAAAGGTGGTTGGGTGGGGCAGGGCGGGGAGCTTTGGGCGAGTCCCTTTGAAAGTGATTCTGCAAACAGGCCGACACCCCCGTCAGTGCCTGACAGACCCTTTCTCCCACCCCCACGCCACTGGCTTCTTCCATCTCCCCCACCTGCACACGATCACACCCACACACCCACAGTTTCTCTCCAGACCTACGCAGGCAGCTTCCTTTGTGGACACCAGAGTGTCCCTTTCGCCTCCATCTCATTCCTCTCTGTACGGCCCTGTAACTGTTCCCTTCCCTTCTTTATGCTGACTCTGTACCTTGTGCTTCTTTCTTTTGTTTTCCTCTCTCTCCTTTTCTTTTTAAGTTTCCCAGTCACAGCAAGCTCATCGTGCCAGCCCCCTCATCTCTGCCTCTCCCCCACCGAGCCCTGTCCCCTGAGATGCAGGCTGTCACCTCTGAGTGGATCTCTCTGACTGTGGGGGTCCCTGGCAGGCGTTCTCTGGCCCTGACCCCACCTCTGCCTCCTCTGCCAGAGGCGTCTGTCTATTACACTGACCACCTTGCCTTCTGGGCAAGGCCCAGTCCCTCCCTGTCCCTCAGCCTCCCCCATTCGAGCTGGTCAGGTCGTTCCACCCCACGATCAGTGGTCTCCCCACTGGCTCTCCCTGCCCCCCACAGAGCCTACTCCCCAGCGCCTGGTGCCCAGGCCTCCCTTCACATCAACGGAGACAGTGGCATCCACAAGCCACCTCCGGGTTTCCCGCAGGACAGCTTCTCCCAGCCGCTGCTTGGGAGTTCTGACAGGGTCATCTCAGAGCTTAGCAACGCCTTTAGCAGCCAGGGTCAGAGGCAGCCGTGGCGAGAAGAAAGCAGACAGTACGAGAGGAAAGCAGAGAGGGAGGCAGGTGAGAGATGCCCTGGTGGACCCACGATCTCTAAGAAGAGCTGCTTGAAACCTTCAGACGTGGTCAGGTGCCTGAGCACCGAACAGAGACTCTCAGACCTCCACGCCCCCGAGGAGAGCCGGCCCAGCCAGCCCCTGGGTAGCCCTTTCCCGGGAAGGGAGGCTGAGCAGACAGAGCCGCGTAGAGGTGGCGAGCAGGCTGAGAGGAAGGCTGCTCGGAGTGGTGTGAGCCAGGTAGGCCTGCAGCATGACCTGTGTGCCTTGGCGTCTCAGTGGCAGGGTGGGCCAGTTGTCTCGCCCACGGTCCACCTACTGAGGCCACGTGATGCCAGTGAGACCCACATGCTTGTCTTGGGAGCAAAACTATTCCCCAGGAGGGAGCAGAGGGGTCCTCAATTAAGGTGTCAGAGCTGGGACAGTCAGAGGCAAAAGACCTCTTGAGGTAATTCAAAAGTTACCCCCACCTCGGGTACCTCCTGGCCTGCTGCACAAGCCCCTGAGAAGGAAGGAAAGCCTTCCTCGTGCCCCATTCATGCTTCAGAGAGCATCTCAGTTTGCTTCGACTAACACAGCTGAGAACACCAGGCTTTGGTTTGGCTCAGTGTGATTTGATTTTGTGCGACACACTTTGTTCCATAGCCCATGGTGCCCTGCCCGTGCTCAGCTCCGTTGGGTCCTTGTCCTGTCTGTGTTTGTGTGGGTGCACAGGCCTTTGTTCACTGGTGAACAAGTGCATTTTGGGTCCGGGAGGAGCATGCAGGCCCAGCACTGGGGCCCTCACAGATTTGGGTCCTTGAATGGGCATGGCAGGTTTTTAGGTGACTGTACCTCTTCTCTCTGGGTCAGCTACTAAGGTTTCAGAGTCTGGACCAAGGTGGCCTTAGGGAGTTTTGAGAGCTGAAAAATTTGGGGGTTGGGGAGAGAGAAACTTGACAATTAGATCATGATTCTAATTTTGCTATGCTGTTTAACAACCCAAAAGTCAAAGACTTTGGGTAGCTTTTCTGAAGGAGCCAGGTTCGAATGCTTGTTTACCTCCTAATGTCTAGTGACTTGGGAGTTACTTCCCCTTTCTGAGCCTCAGTTTCCTCATTTGTAAAATGGACATGATATCACCTACCTCATAGAGTGGGTGGGAGGATTTCACAAAGTCATGTGTAAGAAGTGCTAGCACAGGGGTTGGGAGTGGAGCCTGGTCAGCATTTTGTAAATGGAAGCTATCCATCTTGGGTGATCTAGAGCTGCTTCTGGAACTGAGAACATTCTAGAATGTCTTTAGAACCAGATGGAATTCTTGAAGATGTCTCTCTAAACCATTTACTGTCTACTGTATACAGTGCCCACAGCAGGCTATGCTTGATCTCAGACCTACCGTCCCAGTTTCCCTATAAAGTTTCATTTATTCACTCAACAAATATTCACTCAAGACCTGTAGACACCAGCGTCTGGGCAGGGTACAGTGGCCATCGCATCCCTGCCCTTGAGGAGCCCGAGTCCCAGTGAGCCCGGAACGCATAGCAGCGCCAGGACTGTAGCAGTAGAGGTGCACCTGGAGCCCACAGAGGCCCAAGCGCAGGTGCGGCCAGACCCCCAGCTCCAGCCAATAATTGGGAGAGGGGGACCGTGTGCTGCGGGGAAGGACATTGTGGGTCAGTGGTCACTGCTCGGGCTTAGCCTCTCGCTAGCAAGCCACTTACCCTCCCAGCCACGGTTTTCTTGTGTGCAAGGTGGTCCCTCCCTCGTAGGGTGGCTGTGAGGATTAAATGAGGAGGCGTGGTGCCTGGCACGGGGGAAGCCTTTGCAACAAGGATTGTTGCTCCAGCTCCAGTGCGGGGCTGAGGGAAACAGCACCTGGGGAGGGCTTGGCCTGGCAGGTGCCCCTGGAATGTGTGCCCTGAGCAAGAAAGGGTGTGTCCAGTTCAGGAAAGAATAGTTCACTGGGGAGACGTGGTGAATGGCTAGTGGAACAGAATTAAATGTCTCTGACACAGGAACAGTCCTGTAAACATTCTAAGTCCGTCTGGGTGCCCGAGACCTTGTTATTGTCAGCAGTGAGTCATAGCGACCCGATTCCAGGACGCAGCGTGTACAGGAAGTGTGCACCGTGCCGGAGCTCTGGGTGAGACTAGGGGTATACACGTCTCGATTCCTAACATAGGCTGGGAGAGGAGGAGCTGGCAACACAGGTTCCAGGCTTGTTGAAAATTGATTTTCCTTTCTTGGTGGGCCTTGAGACCCCCAGTGTACCACTCCCGGTCCTCTCCCTCTCCCCTGCTCCTCCATGGGTACACCCAGGCTGTGGGCCCAGACCTTGCTGCCTGTTGAGAGCTAGAGGGCCGTGTGAAAGGGCCTCCTGCCCACACACCTCCTTCTCAGCCCCCTTCACTGTCCCCTCCTGTGCCTGGGAACAGGAGCCGGCAACTCAGGAAATGGGGTCCTTCAAAAGAAGCTTCCTGCCTCTTGAGGCCCTCTGGGTAGCAGAGCTAAAGATGGAAAGGCCTGAAGTGGTAGCTGTTCTTTGGTGGCCCGTCAGGATGATGTGAGCTCAGGCTGAGTCACCTATTTAGATAAATGCATTCCAGACCAGTCTGTGTTATCAGGGAAAGTGCCGGCCATATTCTCCTTTCTTCGGGGAACTGAACCAAAAGTTCAAGTTTATTATAGTTGTTGGGAAGCTAGGTTGAGTTATCTGACTAGTACATACATAGAGGGGATTTTGCCCGAGAGCCTTAAAATAGCAGACATTCTGACATGTTATGATCATTTACTCTTCCATCCAAGTGTCAGGGATGTTCCAGGCACTGCACTAAGTGCTATAAGAGATAGAGGGTGAACAGCATCAGGGCTCTTCCAGTTGCTCCCAGCACAGGCTCTCCTCCTTCACAGGCTCAGCGGCACCGTGTGACCAGGCTGTTTACGCAGCCAGCCTCACCTTCCAAAGCCACCTATGCAGTTGCCTGGATGGTTGCCACTTCTCCACGCAGACGTCCTTCCAGGAAGCCTTTCCTGACAGTGTCCTCCCTCCCCTGCAAGACTGGACTAAGTGCTCTGACTTTGTGCTTCCACAGCTCCCCGCACCTCACCTACGGGGGCACTTCTTCAGCTCTGTGGCATTCGCCCCTTTGCTTGTCTGTGTCACAGTTAGAGTATTAGCACCTTAAAGTGAGAGACCAGGACACCTGATATATGGAAGGCACTCAATGAATATTTGTTGAGTAAAAGAAAAGATAAAAAATGATTGACCCCAACGAAAGGAGTGTGTGATCTCCACAGGGGAAATGACATGTTCACAAATAATTATAGTGCAGACTGAGGGGGACAGTCACAAGCAGCTCACTCTGAAAGTCCAGATGGGGACAAATAATAAGCAACAGGAGGGGAAAGGCAGCCATCTGGAAAGACTACATAAGAAAAGTAGTTTTTCACCTGGGGCTTAAAGAACAGGGAGTTTTGTGATAGGCAGACAGCAGGAGGGTGGCATTCAAGGCGAGCGGGTAGCCCAGCCACAGCCCAGAGGTGAGGCTGTGAGGGGGGTTCAGGGAGTGGGGAGCTCCTGTGCGGGGGGGCCCTGGGGGGCATACAGGAGGGTAGGAAGTGGTGGTGTGGAACAGAGCCTGGAGTGGGCATTCGTCAGCCCCTCCTAACAATGTCTAGTCAGCTTCCTCACAGCCACGTGACCCTGGGACTTGGTTGCCAAACTTCCATTTTTGGTGCTCAGTCCCTACTTTGCTGCTTTCCTTCCCCTTAGTCACCTGTCCAGTCCGCCTGCCACTCCCAACTCTGCAGATGTCCTTGTGAAAGGGTTGACTTTCCATTGCTTTGTAGCCTCCCAAATTGATGCCACAAGGGTCTGTCACATGTGTGTGTAAGTGTGTATCTCTGAACAGCAGAAGGGGAGAGTCAAATGCGGGGGGAGAGTGTCTGGGAGAAATCGGGGTCTAGTGGGAAGAGCGATGTGTGGACAGGATGCCGGGCTCCAGCTCCAGCTCCATCAGCCTGTGTGTGTCTTTGGATGAGTCACTTCCCCTCTCTGGCAGCTCCCCAGCCCATTAACAAAGCATTCAGACAAGAACTAGGGTTCCTTCTATCTTTGATATTCTTGTTAAGTGAAAAACCCTGTGTGAATTTCAGTCAAAAGGAGAAACAAGACCAAATACAAAGTATGACGTTTATTATAGACCTGTGGGCCTTCTCAATTGGAAAGTGAACATTTTTCCTTTTATTATTTGAAGGACAAATTGGGACAAAAACATATACAAAAGGCCCAAGAGTTAAGAATCATCAACCAAGTTCTCGGATTTTGGGAGGCATGATTTTGGCCAAGCAAGTTTAGAACAATCAGTCGAGAGAGTAAAGGGGTGGGTCATCTTGGAAATCTTCATTAGCATCCCCAAATATTTGCTGAGCTTCCCAAGACAGAGGCACTGTTTGCTGACTGGCATCCAGCCTTACAATTAGTGAGAGCCTCTCAGAATTTCTTAATTAAAAAGGACCTTTAAAGATCACCTACTCCAGTGACTTGTAACTTCTTCTGGACCGAGGAACCTTTGGGAGTCTGAGGTCAGCCAGGTGCTCTCCGCCAGCATCTACGATCTGCATGAAGTCTCAGGAGAGTCACCCTTGAGTCCACCTGAGAGCTCATGGGCCCCAGGTTAAGAGCCCCTAGTCTATTTGACTTTCATGAGATGAGAAAGCTGAGGCCTGAGGAAAGTGACACACTTTTGTGATGTCAGTTTGATTCCTAAAGGGAAGGAAGACAGTCAGACAGTAAAATCTGAAGGTGTGACGTTTAAAAATAAAAATATTCAGGAAAGCTATGTATCCTCAAAGCATCTGTCTGAGAAGTGCAAGAACAAGCTGCTCTATAGCCTGGAGAAAGGAGAGGAAGGAAAGCTCCTCAACTGACGACAGAAAGACATGTCTTGGTGACTTAGAGGGAATATCCCTTACCATGTGGAAACTAGTTTAGTTCCAGGAAGATAAAAACAAAGGCGTAGGCCTTCTGAATATGGACATCAGAGCTAGAAGGGAAAGCTTGTGATGCACTTTGCAAGAACCATAAGGAAATTAAAAATGTTAAGACACCCAACTAAGAATGGGAAACATTTCCCTTTAGCTCACTCAGAAGGGAAATCTCTAAGTAAGTGCCAATGGTATTTAACATGTCACAGGATGGGGAGAGACGTTGGCTGCGGTTCTTACAAAAATAACCGGCATCTCAGCATCTGAGGTGG